TCGACTGTATTAAGTTGCCTTTTATCGATGTAATAGTACTTTCACCATTTCACCTATCATCTTGCTGAGATTAGCTCGTCTATAATGAACAAGTATAACAACAATAGCAACCAAGAACTTCGAAATCTCCCGTAAATTGGTGGCCGCCGCCGTCGTCTCGGTCCTGCTGCTGCTGACCACCATCATTAATTCGCGCGCTGAATCGTCATATCCCTCTGTACTAGTCTGATGGTAATTGAATCTCACCTACGGCTACCACTTCACTCAAGCAACCATCATCATCATGATCGAGGGTAACGTTTATCCTTTGACGGTCGTGGTCTATCTCTACCCTGTCCTACTGGTCTCCTCGGTGGACTCCTCTGAGTAGTATTTCTAATATTCATTGATAGATTTCTTCTTTAGGAGTAGGCATCAATGTTTCACAGTCATTATCATCATCAATCGTTATCAGGTCCTTGGTGCTGTTGAGATCGCGTCGAGTTGATTCTTTCAGTCATCGCAGCTTCTCTTCAGCTCAGCCGCTTAACCACCAAGTTGTTTTTTATAATGCTACAGCCCATAATTACCTTGTGCATATCAGCTTTAGTGAAGGCCTTTGATTCGCTGTCCGAGTCGACATCACTGTGGGAGAGTACTCCTTACGATGTAAGTCCTCTGCTTTCCGTGGTAGATCGAAATAACAGTCGTCCCTTAGTACTACTGTGGTCCTCAGGAGGTATTGTTATTATTGACTCTCCGTGATCAGGTATGTCTTCCTCAACCAATTCATTCACTCAGTGAGATGTTTTCCTCTACAGCCTCAAGAGCAACGCAATTGGCGTATATTGAAATCGTTCATAACAAGAGATGCCCCCTATTTTCACACGAATGTTTGGACTTCCAAGAGGTGGGCTGACGACTCTCACTATGTCAGTGTGTGTCTCTTCCCACCTGACAACTTTCGAGGCCCTTTCGGCTAACGTGTGTGATGAAAGCGTTCAGTGGCGTACTTGTGGCATGGACGCATCGGAAATTCCGATGCGGAATGGGCTCCCTCGGTATTGAAAGTATTTCTCCAGTGTTGTTTCTGACCTGGGCCTGTTGGAGTATTAGGTTTGCTCAAGAGTAGTCGCTGAGACAACTTATGAAAGAGTAGCTCCTTTGAGGTGATGGTCTTTTAGTGGCTCCTCGAGAACTCCTATTATCGACAACAGGCAGTGAAAGGCATGATGCGGCATGCCTATGGTCAGTATGAAGCCGTAGCGTTTGGCAATGATGAAACAAACACCTTACAAGGGCAAGGTGACCATAGTGTCGCTCTCAAGGAAGCAGCTTGTGGTTACTTCCGTTATCATGGCAGGTGTTGACAATTGGGGTGGTATGAGTTTGACGATGGTCGATGCCATAGACACGTTACTTTTGATGGGCATGAGAGCTGAGTATGAGCGCGCTGTTGGATGGCTCTATCAGCACTATAAGGAGGCGCACGGCAAGGATCTCTGGGTCAACACTTTCGAGTCCACAATTCGGATATTGGGCGGGTGAGAGATCAATGTTGTTAGTCAACTTTTCTCGAGCGAGAAGCATCATGGGACTTCATTCGAGTTGCCAATTGCAAACGTCTATCACCTTATTCTGCCGTATGAAGCAATGAGTTGCCGCATCGTAGGTACGTGGGCGGCTGGGCTCTGAGTGCTCCTGGTTCCCCCGAGAGGGCTATGTTGGCCGAGATGGCTGAGGACATCGGAGTGAGGTTAGTGAAAGCCTTCCACCTCGGTACTGGCGAGCCCCACTTACCATACTCGGACATCAATCTCGCCACTGGTAGGCACTTCGAGGGGGACTAGTCGCCAGCTGTCTTGACAGGTGAATCTGCGCTGCTGGGAGGATTTGTCAGTTTATCGGAGGCCAACATCGGTCTCGACTTGAACGCTGCCACTATGCTCACCGGGAATCCTGTTTTCGCTCGGGCTGCCGCGAACGTGAGGACGGAAGCACTTGGCCGCTACTTGCGGTATTGGCGTTGTCGAGACATCGGGCCTGTGATTGTATAATGATAGGACCACTGTAGTTGGTACTCTACAAGAATCCGCCTTGTCGCTTGTTCGGTCTCTCGAGCCTGCATAGATTCTTTCGGGAACTAGTTGTCCGGGTCAGGTTCATAACTTTCTGCGGAAGCATTACAATTCTGATTCGATCGGCCTTCTCCCCGTCTTGCTACCATTAGTTCCACATGGAGTTGGCGACGTGGGGCTCATTACCGACAACAAGCTAGGCCTGGGTGCGCGAGGCGACTCTTACTATGAGTAACACCGTTAGCCACCTCGAAGGCCCATCAGTTGGCTGGGTCTATTCGGTGATCAGTCGCAGGACTCAGATATCTGCTGAAGGAATGGATACTGGGAGGAAAGAGCGACGCCTCTTTATTAAATACCTGGCAGAGGAGTCTTTATAAGATCTATCACAACTTCAACTCACATGCCGAGGTTGGAGGAATCGGTCAGGACCGCATTGCTGAGTAATGTG